CTCACATCACTAAATGGCAAAAGTTCGTGTAACAGTTTATCGAAAAAAGACCCCTAAAAATCAAATCGGTGGATATGCTATGCGTGCTATGAAATCACGTGCACCATGCAACATGATTCGGCATGACATGCGCATGGTGCCCATCTCTAGTTCCACTGTTAGAAAATTCAGATGGCAATGATTCATATCGTAATGGAATAGATAACATAAATTTGGATAAGAATTTTAAAAACATATTACCATAAAACTTGATTTTAATAATATGTTATATCATGAGTAGTTAGATATAACTGATTGTCCCCGCCATCCACGTAACATAACTTCCATGTACTTATTTCAGAGCGAAACCTTTATTTTATGAATTGTTTTTGAATTAAAGATTAAGTGGAATAATACAATACTTATCAATCACCTAAATTAAATAGATATATGTCTAGTAGAAATAAGTACATGAAAAAATTACGTAGATGGTTGGCAGGGAATAATTAGAAATATGAAAAAAATCAGAATGTTCAAATATTTTTTAATCAAAATGTTCATTCTTATTATTCCTCCCAATAATATAGTTGTTGGATGTGAAGCAACCAATAGTGTAAATTACACTCTTCATTCCTGACTTAGACTGAAACTCTCTCCTCTATATTGCAAAAGAGTTTTAACATAGCAACTAACGTGTCTCATAAACGAAAATATACTGTTGAGTGTTAATTTTAATAAAAAGGTTCTTAATATATTAAATCTCATTGTTCGTCCGTCAACACTAACCGATTAGAATTATGAACGTGTGTCGCATGTCGAAGTAGTAGCAATTATATATTTAGCTTCTTTTTTTAATGCATGTTGAGAAGGGTCAACAGATTGAAAAGAAAGGATAGAACTGGGAATTAATAAACAGAGATACGTCTGCTCCTTATTGTTTTGGTATTTTAAATTCGTTACAAGATATTTCACTTGAACGTCTTTATCCATTATTTTCATAATATTATTGTCTTTCGGGCCATTTCCAGCTAAAGTCTCCAGGTGAACACTCGCTTTTCGTGGTCTTACTGTCATCTCTTAGCTAAATAATATTTGTAAGTAGTGCCATTAATGTAACATTTTAGAAATTCTTGCCCTTCTAAAGTTAGATTTCCTAATACTTTTCTACTTGTTCTTGTGCTCGAACGTGGTTAACAAATATATCCCGTTCTGAAGAAAGCCTACTTAGCTTTACTAGCACTAGATAAATTGTCTTCTAAATTTAAGATTCTTTTTGATTCTTACGATTTCCTGAAAACCATTTTACCTGGCAAATTCTAAATACGATTGCTGATGAAATGATTTCTTTTGAAAAATTGAGTCAAATTGTTCTCTTCACACTTTCCTTAGCACTAATGATTAATTTTTCTCTTTGAAATAACGGTGAATTGTTGCTACGAATTATCTTTCATATTTACTCTTTCATCATTGTTAAGGCTTAATATTTTTACGTTATTATTATTGTTATTATTATTCTATGGGTTAAGTAGAGATTTATTTTTTCATATGTTTAAAACCGATTAGAACTGATTTTAACATATCTGGTTTCAAACTCCAAGATTATTATCTTGCACATTAGGTACTTAATGACAATTTGGGGGTTAAAGCCAGGTGCGTTTAATACAATGATCTACATATTGCATAAATTATATTCTTGATATCTATATAAACCATTAGCCTAACTGAATCAAGAAAGTAACTCTAGATGCATCAAAAAAGTAATTCTAAAGCACCTGCTTTAACGTTCCCCCAATTTTGTCAGGTCTGTCATACATGAATCTTCTATGTAGATTTCAAACTCTTAAGATTTTGTGTTCCATTCGTTAGAGTACCTGATGCGACAAATGTTGTAACAATAAATGGCAATACGTACATTTGTGTGATATTCGTATTGTGTTACATACTACTGAACAAATCTGCCTGCTGTGATCGTCAATAACAAATAATTTCCTTTGATTTTCCTAAACTTCCTAATTATGGGCATCAATAAACCCTTGAAATTTTCCAACAAATTGAATTCTGAGAATTCACCGAATTCTTTTTCGGCCGTTACTTCCGAGATTCCATCATTTCCGTAGGTTCCTATGGAACTTTTCATGACTACGGTTTCTTTGCAGACTGTTTTTGTAATAAATGTAATGGGAGTCGTGTTCCACTTTATACTTGTAAGGGCGAAAATTGTAATATTAAATGCCCACCTCATACTAGAAAATGTTCTGAATGTGGCGATCACAATTATTTGGCTAGACGTATAATTAATCGAAAGTATTACGCTAGTCAGAAATCTCGTTTAAATTCTGAGAATTCAATTTCTTCAATAAATAAATCATTTGATTCCATCAATGACATGGATTTGAAAGAAATTTGGAACAATGCTTGGTCAGAAATTCTTGAACATCAGTAATTTTATATACATATATCACATGAATTATTCGTGTAAATTATCTGTTAATTTTCTTGATATGTAATTCTGGGGGTGCCCTTGTTCGTTATTTGTAATTTTTGTGTAACCGGTATTACCGTTTAGTTTGACAAATTAAAATCAGATGATTTATATAAAATATTATGCATATATAAAATATATGCTGTGCTGTAGGCGGATACAAATTAGAATATCTATCATAATCAAAGCAAATGTTTCTTTATCTTTAACACATTTTTTTATTTCATATATTCTGCATCGTTTCTCAATTTACATTGATTGTTAATTAACCGTGTTATTTATAAATTTAAACCATTTATTTTTGAATAATAAATTTTTTAGCAAATATGATTATTTAATGATCTCGTTTCGTCTTATTTTTGATAATGAAAGTAATATCAAACATTACATAAAAAAAACTAAGAAAAATTTTGCATACAAAAATAAGTATAAAAAATTATTCAAATTGTAAAAATTTTTAACCAAATAAACTGAATCATTTTTTAAGTTAGAAACGATATAAGAACAAGATTAAACCAGTTTTAATGATCTTGAAGTCTTTACTTTGCAGTTTTGTGAATATAATGACATTATGAAAATTTAGTAAACTTTATTTTATTTTATTGTTTTTTATAAATGTAAATTATAATATTGGGAAAGGTTTTTTACCGAATTAAAAATCGGACCATGTTATTTTTAATCAGTAAAATTTAAGAATGACAAGTGTCCAGACAATCTAGACATAGCCATGTAACGAAAAGCACAAATACGACTGGCCATATGATTGGGCTAGCCAAAGGTGCCAGAAATAAATTCAATTAAAGAACTTGAAGTGAGTAATTTTTAGCCAAGTAATGATATGCTCCCAGAAAATTAGCGAAATTCCGCCAGATATCATCGTTACAGTAAAATGAGCAACATCAACCAGTAGTTTCCCGTCTGCTCGAAGCAGACCGAATGTTGAATAGGAAAATGGCAGAATCAGGAGACTATCATCTTTGATGGGAGAGAAATTTGTTTGTCTAAGACTATTCTGTTGAAAAGGGAAGGAGAAAGTGACTTTGTCGGTTCTTACATATATATGTTGTAAGTGGAAGCGGAATTAAGTGGAA